GGAATAGAGTAATCCGACTGATCCGGACAGCCTTCAGCGTCCACAACAGACGCCTCCATTTTGAAAGGGAGGAGGGGCGAGTTCGGTTCGTGCGTTGATGTGCATGGCGCGTCACGCAGGTTGATTTTTCAGGTTTGGGACCAATATAATATGAAAACTCACAAAATAATCTTTATTTTGATACCCATTTTGTGGGGTTTATTTTTTATAAATCATTTGTTATTTGACGATCTTCTCGGAGGTTTTGATACTTTTATGATTTACAAAAAACTAAAAGAATAAACACCAACAAACCGGGTATGTCTAGAAAGCATATGATTTAAGGCTGAATATGATATTAGTGCTGGCTCAATTGGTCATTTCCTCACAACGCCTGACCCGATTTTCTTGGACAATGTCTCGGCGCAGTGCCGGGAGGGGGGTTCTAATTAGCATAAACAATGCATTCCAGTCACACTTATGAAAAAAATTATGAAAACTATTGTGAAATTTAAAGTGTTTTATTTGCTTCAATATACATAAAATGGGTATCATTAGAAAGGAAAATAATTCAACTTTAACACAGTAGTGTTTCTTTTGGAAAAATTTTCTCTGAAAAAGACTTTTAATGATGGGAAGTTGGGATATTTTCCATGATCAACAGGTGTTCTCTCCTATTCCTGAGTGAACAAAGCATCACTGCCGGTACCTAATGTGAGTATCAGTCACCTGGAGGCAGGACTCAAAAGCCTGAATTTTGCCTGAAACTCTCAGACCGAAGAAGTCTCTTGGAAGAGAGACAAAATGTTTCATTAAAGAAGAACCTGTCCAGAGGACCTATACAATTTTTTTCCTTCAGAGTGGCAGTGAGTTGAGACTGAGGAAGAGCAGACAGGTGACATGTTACAGAGCCCCCTCATCAAGGTCCGTTTCCTGACGGACCACAGGGCTGATCCGGGTGGGACCGATGAAACTCCTTAATCAGGTCCTTGTCCAGGATGTGGTGTGCAGGGACCCAAGAACGTTCCTCTGGGCCATATCCCTCCCAGTCCACCAGGTAGTGGAGACCCCGACCCCAGCATCTGGAGCGCAGGAGTCTCCTGACCGTATAGGCAGGAGCACCATCAATGAGTCGGGTGGGAGGCGGGGATCTGGAGAAGCAGCCAAAACGGGACTGCACCAGAGGCTTGATCCAGGACACATGAAATGTACGGTGAATCCTCATAGCACGAGGAAGCTGAAGTCGGACTGCCACAGGGTTCACCACCTTTGAGATTGGAAAAGGTCCTACAAAGCAAGTGGCTAGTTTACGGCTCTCCACACGGAGGGGTAGGTCTTTAGTAGACAGCCAGACCCTCTGTCATACTTGGTATGGAGGATTCACGGTACAACGTCGGTCGGCGGTTCTGGTGTAAACTGTGGACATTCTGATGAGGGCACTTCTAGCTCTACTCCAGACCCGCTGACACCTGTGGGCAGCCGAGTAGGCAGAAGGAACCCTAGCAGTCTTCTCCTGGAGAGTAAACACTGGTGGTTGGTAGCCATACACAGTATAAAAAGGAGACTGACCTGTGGCACATGATGGCAGGGAGTTRAGTGCATGTTCCACCCAGGGGAGGTTGAGTGACCACTTGGCTGGGTCGTCCTCACACAATAGGCAAAGCTTGGTCTCAACTTCCTGATTAGCCCTCTCAGATTGACCATCTGTCTGTGGGTGGAAACCAGAAGACAGGCTGGCAGAGATACCCAAGAGATTGCAAAACTCCCTCCAAAATTGAGAAATAAATTGGGGACCCCGGCCAAAGACAATGTCAGACGGAAGTCCATGAAGGCGAAACACTTCACGGACCAGGATCTCGCCCATTTCTTTGGCAGATGGGAGCTTCTTTAGGGGAACCAGATGAACCATCTTAGAGAACCTGTCAATGGTGAAAATGACAGTATGACCATTAGAGGGATGCAAACCGGTAATAAAATCCACAGAGAGGTGGGACCAAGGTCGGGGTGGGATGGGGAGGGGGCGCAGCAGACCAGCCGGAGGTCATCGGGAAGTCTTCGCCTGAGAGCACTGGCGGCATGAGGACACAAATTCCTTGACATCTTTGAGCAAATCCTTCCACCAAAACTGGGACCTCACTACTGACAGAGTCTTATTGACACCAGGATGACAAAACAGGCGTGTCTTATGGCAAAAACCAAGTACCTTTTCAATTAGATTATCAGGGACAAATAGGCGCTCAGGGGAACACTCAGGAGGAGGAGGATAAATATGGTGGGACCTTCTGACATCCTCCTCTAGTTGAGTTACTGAGAGTCGAGCCTTCTCTGGTAGAATGAAACCACCCTCACTGGTCCCATCCTCTTCAGACTGCTCCAGGATTCTGGAGAGAGCGTCAGGCTTGACGTTTTTTGTCCCTGGTCTGTAAGAAAGGGTAAACATGAAATGACTGAAAAATAATGCCCACCTTGCCTGTCTTGGACTCAGTCTCTTGGCTGTCTTTAAGTATTCCAGGTTCTTGTGGTCAGTCCACACCACAAAGGGTTCCTTGGCCCCCTCCAACCAGAGTCTCCATTCTTCGAGAGCCAACTTCACTGCCAGAAGCTCTCGTTCTCCAACATCATAATTTCGCTCTGCACTGGACAGGCTTCTGGAAAAAAAAGGCACAGGGATGAACCTTCTTATCGCAAAAATGTTGACTAATGACAGCCCCTACGCCAGTATTGGAAGCATCCACTTCAACAATAAACTGTCGGTCGGGGTCTCGGGAGCGAAGAACAGGAGCAGAGACAAACAGTTTCTTGAGCTTATCAAAGGCTCTCTAAGCTTGATCGTTCCATACAAACTTTGTCTTAATAGATGTTAAGGCGTGAAGAGGAGCAGTTACCTGACTGTAGTTTCCGATAAACTTGCGGTAGAAGTTAGAGAACTCAAGGAACCTTTGCAACTGTTTCCTGTCTCGAGGTGTAGGCCAGTCTCGTACAGCAGTGACCTTAGTGATGTCCATGGAAACCTGATTAGGAGAAATGATGAATCCCAAAAAAGAGGCTGTTGTCTGGTGGAACTCGCACTTCTCTGCTTTGACAAAAAGATTGTTCTGCAAGAGTCTCAACAGAACAGATCTTACATGATTCCTATGGGACTGCAYATCCTTAGAAAAGATTAAGATGTCATCCAGGTAAACATACACAAAATGATTCACCATGTCCCTTAGAACATCATTCACAAGTGCTTGAAATACAGCAGGAGCATTGGTTAGTCCAAAAGGTATCACCAAATATTCATAATGACCATTAGGGGTGTTAAAGGCAGTCTTCCATTCATCGCCCTCCCTAATGCGGACCAGATGGTAAGAATTTCTCAAGTCCAACTTTGTGAAAAATGATGACCCCTGAATGAGCTCAAAAGCAGAGCTCATGAGGGGTAACGGATACTTGTTCCTGATGTTTATTTTGTTCAGGCCTCTATAATCTATACAAGGTCTGAGTGTACCATCCTTTTTACCAATAAAAAAGAATCCAGCTCCAGCAGGGGAAGCTGATGGCCAGATGATACCGGCTTGGAGAGAGTCATCTATATACTTTTGCATGGCCTGGTTCTCAGGGACAGTCAGTGAATACAAGCGGCCCCTTGGAGGGGTGGCCCCAGGTAGTAAATCAATAGGACAATCATAGGGTCGATGGGGGTGGGGGGGGGCAAAGAAGTAGCTTTGACCTTATTAAACACCTCTTTAAGATCGTGGTACTCAGGAGGAACTTTTGAGAGCTCTGGATACACCTCCTCAGTTTTGTTAGAAGAGGTGGTGGGTGACACAGCATCAAACAGGCAGCTAGATAAACATTTCTTTGACCACCCCACTATCTCTCTCCTCCTCCAGTCAATATGTGGGTTATGTAGGTTGAGCCAAGAGGTTCCCAGGATGACTGGAAGTTGAGGTGAATTGATGATGAGAAACGTAATTGTTTCGTGATGATTACCACA